TGCTTGTCTAGCCAATCTCTAGCCAATTTTGAAGTTGAAATTGATCAGGAAAATCGAAAACTATAACGGTTCCTTGATTTTGGTGAAAAACACTACCATAACTGCTGTATAACTTTCAAAATAAAAGTCCGCAGCAAATTTGGAAAGCGGATTCGGAATCAGCGAAAAATTCTGCACAAGATGCACTTGGTCCCGAATCGAAACTCCGACTTGAGTAAAAACACTTTACAGTTAGACATGCGCGGCTTTTTTTATAGTGGCTTTTAAAAACTGGAAAGTCAAACAATTTCAGCTTTTCTGTGCGCTCTACCTAAACCTCATTTCATACGTTTTCAACTATTTTTACCATTTATTTTAGAAGCTAATTTATCAATGACTAAAAATAGATACCTTAAAGAACCCCTTTTTTGAAGTTTTCAAACTTTTTTTGCGTATTTAACCTATATAACCCCCTCAAGCTCGCGGAACAAGTTCCAACAAGCTTGAGGGGATCTCGACGTCCCAGAGGTCGTCGGCGAGGCGGTGGACACAGTTCCGGCAACGAAAACCGGGCGCCTAACACGTGGCAAACTTCCAGCAACGGTTTCACTCAACCCGATGTCCAACCGTGACCCGACAACTGGCCAGCCCACTTACGCCCAAGTCGCTCGCGGTTACCCGAAGAGCCGCCCAAGCCCTCTTCACGAATTTCATCCACTCCCCCTCCCTCCGCGCCCACCTCCAACTTGGACCGAGGACCCAAATGATGCCAAATGTAACAATCCTGATTACCAACTTGTATTAGAAGGCCTACCAGAAGTCCGCCCAGACCCGCTAGTTACCCCGGACGTACGCCGTGGATTGGATCGAGAGATGATCAACCACATCCTCGCGTTCTTTGGACTTGACACTCGCATCGTGTGGTCCTATAGGATGGGCACCTACTCTTCCTACAAGCCGCGGCCCGTTAAAATCATCGTCGCATCCCAGCATATGCGTGTAAACCTGATCGCTGCGTCACGCCGCCAAAATCGGAACGGACTCCCGCCCTTCGCTCAACGTACGATTTTCCGAAATTCGGACCCGACCCGCTCCGCCTTCCATCTGAAATCGCCACTCCAGGATTCGACACACGCTCCCGACCCCGTGCCTCTACTCGACACACAACAAGATCACATGGAAGTTGATCCTGGTGTCACCCAGCCGCTCACCGACACTCGCCCCAATCTTGAGCCCACCGTCGCCCCCGTAAAGAGTGCCCCGAGGACCAGGCCTCAGAGAGTCAGGAAACCCACAGAACGGGCTCAGACAATGGATCTGGACACGACCAAAAAACAAGAGAAAAGGACAATCGCTTTCGCCGTCAGCTAGAGTGAGAAACAATTCCGCCTTCTCGAAACTCAGCGATTCGAAAAAAGATGAAGCCCGCGACTAGCACTGCCTCGTCTCCAACCTCAACCGTGAATCCATCAGCCGGCTCCTCCAATGAAGTACAATCGGCAGCTATAAACGCCGATCGGTCTACACCCACTCCCCTAGCAAACATCCCAAATAGCCCGGGCGACCCTTCTCTCTTTCGCCTATCATTTGCCTGTTGACAAACAACCTGTAAACTTTAGAATTTTTTCTGCAAATGTCCGTAGCCTAAAAAATAAGCTCCCCGAGCACGCGATCCTTCTCACCTCTTTCCTTTATGACGTCGTTTGCTATCAAGAGTCTTGGCTCTCGCAAATAGTCGTTGATTCACTGCTCTGTGATCCTGGCCATTACAAAGTTTTTCGCGCTGACCGAAAAGACAGGTCGGGAGGTGGCGTAATCACGTTTGTTAAGACCCACCACCCTGTTAAGGTGATCTTCATAGGCGAATTCGAAGGCTGTGAAGTTCTGATTCTAGACATATTTCTCTCCTCATTGCCGTACCGATTCGTTAACGTTTATAGACCTCCCCAAACGTCTTACTCTCAAACGGAATCGCTTTTTGCTAATCTAGAACCATTTCTTTTAGCAAATTCGCTGATTTTACTAGGTGATTTCAACCTGCCTATTTTCCCGGGTCCCTCCTTCTCGGCGGGCATAGCCGATCTTTTACGCGATCTACTCTTTGAGCAAAATCTAAAACTGCTGACCACCTTCCCGACTTTTCCCCGTACGGGCAAAATTTTGGATCTTTTTGTCGCTAGCCCTGACCTAAACATCGATTGCAAGCCCGCTCCCGCTTTTAACCAGTGCGATCATATAGCAACAGTAGCAACCCTTTTCGCCCAAAATGTCATACCTAGCTCTAGTCAAACTATCGCTCCCGATTTTCACTCTGCAGATTATGCTAAGGCCCAATCCGAGTTATTTATTACCGACTGGTCATTTCTTTCCCTCGCTGATCCTATCCAAGCGACCTATGACAGATTTTGCCTGGAATTCGCGAGAATAATCAATGACACCGTCCCCGTAGGCTCAAAGGCACCTTACCTAAAATCCCGCCCCACATTCAGCGCTCTCTTAGGAAGAAAGATGATGCCTGGTCTAGATTTATTGCGACGTCCGGTAGCTTTGATGAGTATCTGGCCCATTCCAAACGGCATAAAGTAAATTGCCAGAAATTCTTGAGAAACGCGGAAAAACGCATATTTGCCTCTGGTAATCCCCGCCTCTTTTTCGCCCACATAAAATCTAAGAGTAAGCCAAATCCCATCTCACTTCTCAAAAATCAAAATTCTCCCAAAATCACAGACGAGGCGGAGGTCTCAGAGGAATTTGCAGCCTATTTCTCGCAGGTTTTTCAGCCCGCTCGAGGGCAACGTCCCCCCTCCCATCATCCCGACCCCTCGCCCCCTTTTTTGTTCACCCCTAACGATATTGACAAGGCCCTAGCTTCCATGAATCCAAAAACCCACTGGACGCCCGAAAACATTCCCACTCTTTTCCTCAAGAAATGTTCGGTGATACTCGCTCCCGTTCTGACTAGGCTTTTTAATATCACCTTACTAAAAGGTGATATCCCCGCTCACTGGAAACTTTCTCGAATAGTACCCCTTTTTAAGACCGGCGACGAAACTAAGGCCCAAAACTATCGCCCAATAGCCCTCACATCATCGATTTGCAAAGTTATTGAAGTTGCGCTGAAACACAAAATAATTTCTTTTCTAGATGCTAAACAGTTCTTTTCCCCGGCCCAGTTTGGATTCAGAGCCTCTCATTCTACCACCGCGCAGCTCATCAAAATGTTCCATGACTTTGCCAACATGTTAGATTCCGGTGAAAAACCAATAAGCATATATTTCGATCTAGCAAAAGCTTTTGATAAAGTCCCCCATCACATTCTCCTAGATAAAGTCGCCCAAACGGGCCTGCCTGTTCCCATATACTCGTGGTTGAAAGCCTATCTCACCGGTCGGACTTTTCATGTACAGAACGGAGACTCAGTTTCTAAGCCACGTCCTCAAACCTCGGGGGTCCCGCAGGGTAGTGTCTTAGGGCCCATACTTTTTTTTGATCTTCATAAATGATCTCCCACCCCTTCTAGTAAACAAAAATCTCTTATTCGCTGACGATCTCAAAATCTATGCAGGTATTGGGCCGCGCTCAGGTCCCAGTCCCCACACCTCTATCCAGTCCGACATCTCTATCATAGAAAAATGGGCCTCGGAAAATGGGATGTCCCTCGCCGTTAATAAGACCTTTTGCTTAACTTCCCTAAGTCCCGCACCTCCCTTACTTCTCGCAAATAGCCCAATCGAAACGGTCGATATCATCAAGGATCTCGGTGTTAGATACACAAATAAGCTCTCTTTCAAGCCGCATATCACTGAAATCTGCGCAAGAGCGGCGCGAATTTCGTACTTAATCATCAAAAAGATTCAGGTACCCAATAAAACTACTTATATCCGCGCTTTTTGCACACTATGTAGACCGATTCTGGAATATGCGAGTGAAGTTTGGTCTCCATCCCGCAAATATCTGATTCAGAAGATCGAAAATGTCCAGAAAAGATTTACCTTTCATGCCTACTCTAAACTTTGCCCAGGGTTTCCCGTAATTCCGTATGAAGAGAGGCTAGCATTTTTTGAAATCCCCACCCTCGAAACACGCCGAAACCAAAATGACCTCGTCCTGTGCTATCGAATAATTTTCCAGCAGAGCTATCCAGTCAAATTTCTTAAACTTGCGACGCGACCTTCTAGGAGTTCCCACAGGTTCCAGCTCACTAGATTTAACAGCGTAGGAGATACCCCTAGGTCTATCTTTTCACGACGCATCATAAAACTATGGAATTCACTTCCGCCACCTCTCCTCTTGAACCCTCCGACCAGCGCGAAACGCTTTAGGAAAAGTCTTGAAACCCTTCCCCTAGCCCATAATCCCTCCTAAGCAAAAAACCTATTATCCCCGTCCCTCGTCTTTCACCCATGTTTTTTTTTTCACTTTACGTGTTTATCATTTTTTGCCTACGTTATATTACCCGGTTGAATAAACCATTCATATATTCACGGCCCGTTAAAGCTACGGGAAAGTTTAAAAAAAGACAAAAACCTTTTCGCTGCCGTCTCCACCTTAATCGTCTCGTTTACTATCAGCGATTCGAACCTACCCTCTAATTTACTTTTTTATACTTTCCTAAATTATATTTAACGACTAAAGCCCGACCTTGCCCCTTAAGCTAACTAAATTATTCCCCGCACACACACCCACCATCTCAAATATTCATCCCCCAAATTCCTATCTATAGCCCTCCGTTCAACCCTCATTCTCTCCTTTCCAATGGCCCTCTCCATTCCCGCATCATTTACCCCTGATTTTCCACGAGCAAATAGAGAAAAAAGGGAAAAGCTAAGCCGCCCGATTGCCCGTTCTGGCCGCGTGCCAAATCCCCTAGAATCCTTTTATCCGGCTTGTTGTTTTATCGCGTTTTTGAGGGCCCTATTTCCATGAGAGTCCCTCCTGTCAACAACCTGTTACGAGGCTCGAATAAAAATCGTTTTTCCCCAAAATCCTGATACCAAAATCATCACCGGTTTGCTTGCAGAATGGGTGACCTGGCGCCGGCAGCGAGTAGTGGTGGCGGCGGGGTGAAATTGGAGCGGAAGATCAAGTAGGTTCAGCAGCTCTGAAATGTAGAAGTTGTTTTAAACCTAATCAATAAAAATAAGAACATGAAAAATAGAAGAAAACTTTTCTAAAAATAGATTTTTGGGCGGAAAAGTTCGATGGGGCGAAGAACTGGAAACTTAGAAATTTTGAGGTGTTAGAATTAGAATCTTTCGATCAAATAAAAACCAAAATGGATAAATCACATTCAGCTTTTATCCAGAAAATCACACACGGGATGATTGTCACTTTCAATGCACAAAAAAAAACAAAGAAAAAGAGTAATTTTACAGCCTCTTCTCCGGATGTGCCATCATCATCGGCGTGATCGTCGGTTCTGGGATTTTTGTCAGTCCGAAAGGTACGAGATTTCATACCAAGCTACAAACAATTGCTCTTTTCCAGGTGTTCTGCTGGAAGCCGGTAGTTCGGGGCTATCGCTGACAGTATGGCTGGTTTCCGGAATTTTTTCGATGATCGGCGCGCTTTGTTATGCCGAACTGGGGACGTCGATCCCGAAAAGTGGCGGTGACTATGCGTACATTCACGAGGTAGCTTACCCAGACAAATACCTAGTATTTTTCCTCAGGCGTTCGGTGGGCTTCCCTCCTTCCTGTTCCTCTGGATGGCCCTCGTGATCATCAACCCAACCTCGATTGCCATTATTGGTAAGTTGGAAACGGCGTCAATAAACCCTATAATTATAAATTTAATGAAATACCTATTTTAGCACTGACATTCGGCAACTATTCGCTGAAGCCCTTCTTCCCGACGTGCGATGTCCCAGAAGAAGCCGTCAGATTGTTGGCAGCCTGTGTCATTGGTATGCATCCTACACAAAACCTAAATTTTACAAAATTTACAGCTTTCCTCACCTTTATCAATTGCTATTCGGTCTCGGTGGCCACACGCGCTAATGATGTGTTCACCGTGACTAAAGTGACCGCCCTGATCACGATCATCGCAGCAGGAGTGTTCTGGTTGATCGTAGGTAAGTTCAAAACGGAAAGAAGAATTATTCGACCTTAAATAGCCTAAAGAATTTATTTAGGTCACACCGAATATTTCGAATGGACCGAGCTAACCGAGGGTACGAAGACGTCACCCTCAAACCTGGCGCTCGCCTTCTACTCGGGCGTCTTTTCGTTTTCCGGATGGTAGGTAGTTTCTACAGAAAACAGCATAACAAAATCCTTACCTTGTAAAATACCGACATTTAGGAGCTACCTAAACTTTGTCACCGAAGAACTGCAAGAACCATTCAAAAATCTTCCACGAGCCATCTACATCTCAATCCCGGCGGTCACGATCATCTACACCCTCGTCAACGTCGCTTATTTCGCTGTGCTCTCTGTCGACGAGGTATTTTAAACTGATTATTTAACCTATTCGCCTCTCAGGTGCTTGAATCCAACGCTGTGGCCGTCACCTTTGCAGAGCACATCTGGAAGCCGCTCGGCTTGGTGATGCCCTTTTTCGTGGCTTGTTCCTGCATTGGAGGTCGGTTTGCTTGCCTGAGTTTATCATCCAGATCAAGGTATGAACGGACTTCTCTTCACCGGAAGCCGGATGTTCTTCGCGGGGGCTCGTGATGGGCTGCTACCAGAAATCTTTGCCATGATCAACCTGAAGCACGTGACCCCGATGCCATCGTTGATCTTCCTAGGAGGTAAAGAAACTCCGGGAATCTGAGAAATTGGCGGTTCAGCACTTGCAATCGGGATGTTGTACTCGGGGAACGTGTTCGCTCTGATCAACTATCTCTCATTCGCCGAGTCGCTCGTTGTGTTCGCGTCCGTGGCCGCGTTGTTGTGGATGAGGTGGTCGAGACCGGATATGGAACGTCCAATCAAGGTATTAGAGGGCTTATTAAAAATTATCGCTGAAAATCTGCGGGTATAAGGTGAAAAAAGCATAACCATTTACAGTTCAACATCATGCTGCCGATCTCCTTCTTCATTATGTGCCTATTCTTGCTGATCTTTCCTTTCTTCTCCGAGGTAACTAGAAAAGCACTATTTCTCAAAAATCACCTTTCCTTCAGCCAGCCGAGCTGTTCGTTGCTGTGGGACTTATCCTATCCGGAGTTCCCGTCTATTTCCTGCTCGTCGTGCTCAACAAGCGGATACCCCGCTTCCTCTACCGACCATGGGGTGAGTGGCACCAACAACAGCCTAAAAACAACATTTCAGTCTGGTTCACCCATCTCATCCAGCGTCTCTTCTATTGTGTCCCCGAGACGCCAAAAGAAGAATAGCAGAACCACACGTCTTTCTCCATCCACCTCACGGTGGCAAAAACGAATCGGCATCCGGGTTGTCTGCTCTCAAATTCATTTTATGAAATAGCTAGTCTTACCGATTTATCCGCATTGCATTTTTGGTGCTCATCTCCAGAAGCCTCTCTCATCCGTTCCCTTTCAAAAATACGGTGTGCTCCAGAGGCATTTCATATTTTCATATCCCTATGTTGCATGAATTGGTAAGAAGTACAAAGTTTATCCATTTCCAAAGAAAGTACGATATGTCATCACAATTAATGCGAGGTGCGGAGCTGAGGGCTGCGGGTTGAAAGAGGAAGGCGAGCGGCTAAGGGTAAATCGAGGTGGCTGTACATAAACACAAAAGAAACACCCGGAGGGACAAATGCACATGAAGATAATATCACAGGCTTGTTTTAAGGGTAACAACGGCTAGTGCTTTTTGGGAAGCGGGTGAACCTTGACAACGAGTGGCTGGTGCTTCGACGGCTTCCTCAGCGCCTTCCAGGCTTCATTGCTGCGCTTGACGACGGCGGGGGTAGGCCGTTTCAGCTTCTTGCCGGCAACGATTTCTCGAACCTGAAAGCAAAATATTTTGCTAACTCGATAAATTACCTCTTCTGCAGATAATGTCTCGTACTCCAGCAACGCCTCTGCCAGGGCCTTGTGTTCTTTCTTAAGTAAGTGCATACTAAAAAAATCTAACGCAAACCTTGTGTTTGACGAGAATCTCCTTTGCTCGAGCAAAACTCTCATTCAGGAGACGATCAATTTCCTGATCGATTAGCAGCGAGGTCTGGGGGCTGAGCTCGTTCATCTTGATCAACGACTTGCTGTCCTCGTCCGTTGAAAAATCCCGCAATCCAACCTATCAAAACGCATTAAATTATTTGCGCCACGAACACGTACCTTATCCGAAAATCCGTAGTGTTTCACCATCTGGGTGGCTAGGTTGGTGGCCTTCTTCAAGTCGTCGGCGGCGCCGGTTGAGACCTACACCGGCAACACTAATCAATGAAAGCATAATGATATACCTTATCCGTGCCAAAGATCAACTCTTCCGCGACGCGACCTCCCATCATCATATCGAGTTGCGCGTAGAGTTGGGCCTAAGAATGCATTGAAAAGGATAACAATCTGCAAACCTTCGTCATCTGGTAGCTGTCCTTCTCGGGGAGTAAGGCAGTGTGCCCCATGGATGAGCCACGGGGGATGATGGTCACCTAAAAACGAGGCGCATGATAGAGCCCAAAGGCGAATGAAGCTACCTTATGTAACGGCGTTGAATCCTTAGTCATCATGCCGACGAGCGTATGCCCGGCCTCGTGATAGGCTGTATTCTTGTTTGCCTCTTCGTCCGGGATCCTGCCGGCGAGACGGGCTGGCCCCATCAAGACCCTAGAATCCATTTTTTTACATCCCATGAAAACTACCGGTCCCGCGCTTCGTCGAGATGGGGCATTGTCACTTCCACACATCCCTCGGTGGCGGCTTTCAGTGCTGCTTGGTTGACCATGTTCTCGATGTCTGCGCCAGTGAAGCCGGTGGTTCCCTTCAAACACAAATTGGTTATGGGTTCTTTAGGATTTCCGGGGGGGGAAAGTATTTCCGGGGAAACCAAATTTTTTCGGCCAAAGCCTAAATTTTTTTCTAAATAGCGCATGCGTTTCTAAATGGTTTTTAACTATTCCTGAGGATAAAAACTACCCACATTTTAATTAAAAAAATTTAATTTTAGGTCGAAAAATCCTATAGAACCTTTAGGATTAGCGGGGGGGGGGGAAAGACCCAAAATGACCAATTTTCGGCTTTTTCAAACATTTTTCTAACTTTTTTGAAAGGTTTTTCTACTTTAAATATAGTTAAAATTTACTAAAAACAATGTGAAAACACTTTATATTTGATTACTAGGTCGACCGGGAAAACCAGGAAAAAATTTGGTTTCCCCCCCCCGGAAATCCTAAAGAACCTGGTTATGTAAAAAGAAAAGGTTAGTGAACCTTTGCGAGGGCTTGTACTTGGATGTTGTCAGCGTGGACAATTCGGTCGAGGTAGTGCTCGAAAATGTCCCTCCTTCCCTGCAGGTCCGGTTTCGAAACGGTGACACGAACATCAAAGCGACCGGGACGGAGCAAAGCCTAAAACTGATGCCATCAAAATATCAAAACTCTTGCATACCTTGTCCAAGTCTTCAACCCTATTCGTCGCTGCAATCACAATAATGCCCGTATTCTGCACAAAGCCGTCCATTTCACTAAAACACACTGCGCGAAAAAAAACAATAAAAAATACCTCAACAACTGGTTGATCGTCTGGTTTGCATATGGGTGCATCGAGTTGGACACGCGCTTGGAGCCCACCGAGTCAATCTCGTCAATAAAGATGATGCAGGGAGCACGATCCTAAAATGCCTCTCGAACAGAATCCAACCACTTTTACCTTAGCCTTGTCAAACAGTTCACGAATTCGCCTCGCGCCCTGACCGACCAGCACCTCGTCAAACTCTGAGCCGGATGTGTGGAAGAACGGAACCTAAAAGAATTCAAGAATATGCCCGAAAGAAATAACCCACGTGTGCTTCACCAGCTATCGCACGAGCGAGCAGCGTCTTGCCAGTCCCGGGCGGACCCACCAACAGAACCCCCTAAATTTCAACCTAGAAAAACGCATTTTTACAACCTTTGGCAAGCGTCCGCCAAGCCGTGAGTAACGATCTGGATCTTGTAGATACGAAACAATTTCTTGGACCTCCGCCTTTGCTTCGTCCATCTGACAAGTAAGTTTGCTAACGCCTGAAAAATTCCTACCCCTTTCACGTCGTCAAAGGTAATCTGGCTATCTTCCGGCTTCAATTCTTGTGGCGTTGCTTGAAAAAGGACGGAAAGCGTTGAGGATTTGCCGCCTTTCCCTAAAAAAACTTGCATGAAAAGTCGAACCATACCGTCACTGAAGAAAAGCGAGTAGATGTTTGATCCAATCCATATTGAGCAAAGAACCGTGCAGAAAGCCGCATAGGAGCCGAAGAAGGACTTGGAATAAGTGCGCGGCGGTTCTTTGGAATCAGCTTCCGAAGCCTTGTGATTCAAGAGGAGACTTTTCACATAGCCATCCTAAAATTCATTAGTTAGCCGTCTGACAAGCGCCAACCATGAAGAATTTTTGCTGTTCCGGTTGCAGTTTCTTGATTTCACTGTCGTAGGCGGCGAGAAGATCCTTGTGCTTGTCCAGCTAAAAGAATTTGATCGATTCCATTAAAACAGCCTCACCATCGAAGGTTTTTTCGGAGCGCCGAACCATCTTGGAAAGATCAAGCCAAGCCAGTCGCGCGGCTCCAAATGTGGGTTGACAATGTAAAAGGAAAATACCGGCTCGTCAGTGTTACGGCCCAGAAGACCAGTTGCTTTGCGAGTACGAAAACCACGCCGTTGGAAATCTGTAGCAATCGTGAGCATGCAATAAACACTTACAAAGAATAACACGCAGCTCCGAGGCCGGGCCAGACCGGAGTTTCATATATATCTATGCGAGTATGTAGAAACAAGACGTCAGATAAATCTAAAAACCTGCTCTATCACGTATATCTGTTGAAAATGTTGATTTTCGACATAAGAATTCCGACCGGCTTGATTATCCGAATGTTACCAAATAGACACGTCGTGAGAATTGCTTTTATTCAACACACAAAGGTACAATCAAGACACAGACACCCATTTAGATTCACAGTGATGGATTATAGAGCAAAAAGTACAGCAATGGCACAAGATGAGCAAAGGGTCGAATGTCACAGTCGCTGCAGGGGACAGGAACAAAAAAAAAAAGAAAGAAATGCAATTGTGACCAAGTGCAATGGCAAAATAAATAGGGTTATCTAACTGGGTTTGGTGAGTCGTAAGAGATGGATGGATTGCATAGCTACGGGCGTGGCGGGACGGTGGGACGCTTCGGTACGGGCGGGATGAAGGGCGAATACGCAGAGTTCTCATTGCTGAAAATGAATCTGTTAGAAGAGAGGGCTCCTGCTTACCATGCCCCAGACTTGGCGATGTGACTAGGAGGAGGTGGCGGACGACTGTTTGGAGCTTTTGGTGCAGGTCGAACAGCGCCTATAAAGAGAGAATAAATATTTTTGAGATCATCAAACCTGTTAGAGGAGCCACTGCGGCGACGCGATTCGCTTGTGAATTCCCATTTAGTTGAATGCTTGCCAAGGGCCTAGTAGGGACAGTCAGCGCCGAGAAGTTCACCTGAAGATCGTATTAGTGAGATCGATTCCAGCAAATAAATACCTCATTGATGATGCTGATGGCTTGCTTGATGGCGTTGTAGGTCTGGAGTAACTCTTCACGCCTCTGGGCTTCACCCTGAGACTCCTCCATCAATTCATCCATGTCGCATTGATAAAGATGGGGCAGCAGTTCTGTCTCCAGGAATTCGCCGACCTAGAAAAAGTTGATATGCAGAGAATAAAGGCATACCTGGTTTACAATCACATGCATTACGCATTTTGGCACCAGATCGCGTATCGACTTGGTCACAATGCGCATGTAAGAGTCGACGAGGTTCCGAATGGTTTCCACTTGACGTTCGACCTGAGGGTCGATTGACATCGCCACCTCCTCATTTGAGTGCTAAACGTCTTTTATCGAACAAAAATACAACAAGATACCATGTCGGCCAAGTCGCTGACTTGCTTCTCCGGATGAACACCTGCACGCAAGAACGATCCCTTCCAGGCATCCAAATCATCCAGGTTTTGACATCCCAGTTCGAGCTGCTTGTAATCTTTGTAGATGTTTCTAAAAAGATAATTAAATAAAGGAATCGAAGCAAACCTTCCATCTGGGTAAAAGAGCGCAAACTTGTGTTGGCGAGACATGAAGCCGCTTTCTAGGTCGCGGAGACGAATGGCGTCCAGCGGCATCATGTATTTCTTTTCCTTTTCTTCGTCATCCTAGGCAAAATTTTGAAGCACTAAAATATCCAACCTTATACCAAGATAGGCTTTCTGACGTCAGCACGAACCAGAAATCTTTGGAGCCACGTACAAACGACACATTGTTGACGTTCAGCCATCCTTTGCGGATAGCTTGGTTTGCAGGATTCTTCTTGACTGGGTTCTTTGTGGAATTTCCGAGTTCAGAACTGAAAAACAGGTTGAATCGACAGAAAGCCGTCACCTTCCGAAACCAACGAAATCTTCATGATTGGTATTCATATAGGAGAGTTCACAATCGACCATAAAACCAATCTGATCCTTGGCATATTGTTCCTTTTCGCGGATTTGTGTGACGACAACACGCTCAATTTCATTGCGGAGACGTGGGTAGCGCGCCAACTGAAAGACAATATTCAAAAGCTTACTGAAGTTTACCGAGTCAGCAGTCTGTCGTATCACAGTAGAGAGCTCGTTCACGACCAGTTCAACGCATTTTTGAGCCGGTTCGCGGAGTCGATTTATCTGCTTCTTTGCGATGAACTTGAAGGCCTTATCCGGGGTGAAGAGCCCGACTCTAAAACAAAATGAAAGCAGATTTCAGAAAGCTTACTGAACACCGTGGATATTTCGGATAGCAAATTGAATCTCGCGGCGTAATTCCTTCTCGTCAATTTCCATCTTCACCATCTCGAAGGGGAAGCGCTCGTGGAAGATCCGCTTGATCCTCGCTCCGCCGCTCAATTCATTCGTGGAGACCATGTTGGAAGAGGAACCGTCTATGGAGCGCTCAATGTCGCGGGTGAACTGTTGCGCCATTCTAAAAAACTTTTAAACGACTTTAGACCAATCCTTACTGCATCAAGGCTTTCGTCTTTCGGGTCGGATCATTCGGTTGAAAATGCTTGTACTCCTGTACATCTTTTTCGATCGCAAACAACCGCTTCTGGAGAGAGTCACGAAGTGCGGGAAGTCGATCCCTAAAAACGAATGTCAAAAAACAAAGAAGAGAATACCGGATGTGATCTGTAAGCTGTCGGTTGAGTGTGAGCTGGAGGAATTGTGTGCCTAGCCGATCTGCCATGTGACTGTAGGACGGATGCGAGTTGAAGAATTTGCGCTCGGCGTCCAGGGCAGCTTTGATGTCCTTGCGGCCCATGATATCCTTTTGACTTCGGTTGACGACACCCACGTAACCTAAAAATCGTAGAGCTGAGACAACTCTCGAGTATACCTCTTCTCAACGGGCAAAGTCGATTCTCAAGGATGTCTCTGGCATCTGTGCCCTTGTCCATCAGATCCAGCTTGGTGAGCACCCCGACTGTTCGTAGTCCTTCCGGGTCGACGTCTTTTGCAAGTTTTAGGGCATCAGAGGTGGCGAGATCCGAATTGGCGGGAGTGACAGCAAGGATGATCGAGTTTGGGTTGCCGATGTAGAGCATGATCATGTCCCGAATTTGTTCCTAAGAAAATAACCATAAAAAGTGGATCTGAATGTACCTCGATGTTGGTTGGTTGATCGCCGACTGGAACCTTCGTCAATCCGGGCAGATCCACAAGTGTTAGGTTGACGACGCGATGTGAGAAGACCTTCAATGAGATGGCCACGTTGGAAATGCCCTAAAAGCAAAAGTAAATTTTAAAAAAGTAATACCTTATTGCTGCCCGTGAGTCGATCCGTTTCGTCTTCGATTTCCTTGCGCACCAGCTCGAAGTCTTCGAAGATTTTGTCGCGTGCGTGCTCGAAGCAGGCCCAGTCATCTAAAGAAAGGCTTGAGCTTCGAAACCAAAGATTTACCCTTCATGCCGCGTCGCTGCTCCGAGTCCTCGAGAGGCACGTGACAGAGGTGAAGCAGAAGGGGCCTCCTCGTGACAATGCCAGTGCCACGAGGAAGGAAATCCCTTCCGACAATCGCCTCCATCACCGAACTCTTCCCGGAACTCTAAAAGGATAGGATTCGGAAAAGAAATGTGAAAGTACCTGCGAGCCGACGACGACAATTTGCGGCAGCTGGATGTCCGCTTCACGCGGTCCAACTGCCGCGAAGACGTCCTGCAGCTTGTTGATCGTCGATATCAGCGTTTCCATCTGGAAAACGGCAGTTGGAAATCGAAAGAAAGGTAGATTCGGTTTACTAATTCGAGGAGAAAACGAAAGACAAGCAAGACCAAAAAGTGAAGAAGAGAAAATCGGAATTGGAAAAGAAAAATTGAGGACGATTTCGTACAAAATTTCTCGGCTTAAAAAAGGCTTCAGCCGAAGATTTCGAAGAGAAAGCTAGAGAAAAGAGCTCAATTCTTGTAGCAACAAAAAGAGCTAAATTTTCGTCGCAAGAAAAAAAGCGCGAAAATGGGGAAATGAGGGCAGGCAGTCGGTCCATAATTGGACGAGAAAACCAAAGGCAACACCAAAAGTGGAAGAAAAGAAACTTCGAATTGGGATGGAGAATCGGACGGCAATGAGTACAAAATACTGTAAGGAGAAAATCCAAAAAAGTCGAAACTCCGCGAAAAAAGCAGCTCCAATTTAGGTGCGCTTTAGAATCGACTGGAAGAGATGAGCATACGGTAGCTGCCGGGGCGCGCGGACGCAGTTTAGCGTTCCCCTTTCCGATTTTTACTTTGCAATCGACGTTTTTTTTTGCTTTTCCTGAATAATCGAGTGTATTTTGATGTTTTTTATAGTTATTTTTATGTGTAAAACGTAAAGAAAGTTGGTAAATTCATTAACAGGCTCCTGGCCTCAATCAGAATCATAGGTGATGGTGTAGTAGCTGTGGGCCCGCTTGATGTTTTCTTCTCGGTTGATTTGCTGGAATAATTTTCGGGATGGTTGCGTCCGTCCCTACCTTGAGTCCCTCCGAAAACTCGTGCGTATCAACGTCTTCGAGCTCTTGTTCGGCGTCAGAAGATGATTCCATCGATTCGTGTAGTCGATTGAGGCGTCCAAACAGTTCTAGAAAGTTTTTACAAGGTTACTATTAGGTATTAGCTTGATATTTATGACTTTAGTTTAGATAACTTACCGGTGTAAAAGCTGTCGTGCGTGATGTAAGACTCGAAAATGGTGTCGGCACTTTGGATAAGAAGCAGTGTAGCTCTTGATGCTCTAAAACAGATATTATTTATATAAGTACACGGAAAACCTCAAGAATGACGGGCATCTGGATGAGCATAATGGAAAGAGACAAGGGGTGTAGAGGATGACCGCGTCTGGAACGAATTCTGAGATTCTGTCTTTATCTAACCTGTTAGAGCGCTTGTTGTGGACCCACAAATATGGACCATTCTGCAGATTGCTTTCGAAGTAAGGTAGGCCAGTTGTTGTTGCTCGGTGCTCAGTCCATCGATAAGTCTAAATGAATTCTTTAAGTTATACCGATTTTTTGAGGCTCACGTTGTCAGGTAGCAAACGGCCAATTCTGGAGAGCAATCGACAGGTAGACAAAGCAACTCTTCATCGGGAAACATGGGCGGCAAGTCGAGTAGCAGTTCCTAAAGATTGTATAATAGTCTTTATCATACGGTATAAAGTATGATAAATTTTTTAAATTAACAACTAACCTTTATCACCGTAATTATAGCGTTTGGATGGGTTTTTTCTAATTCTTCGACAGACAGATTTCTGGCATCAATACGTCGAATAAGCCTGCGAACTTCTAAACTAAGGGTTAGGCGTTTGCGGTGATTTCCAATCCAAATAGTTTCCGCCTTTCTCAGCACTCACCCTCACTCTGCGGATGTCGTTGGCCAAAGCGGACGTTCCTGAATTCCGGACACGAACGAAGATCCACCACCGAGGCCAGAAAAAGTTGAAAATAGGGCGGAACCGGCAATTCATCGCTCTGCCTTTCTATATCATCATCAGGTAAGGCTGAGGTTGACGGAATTGACGATAGTTGGTATGGATTATCCTGAAATAATTGGATCGATTTAGAATAGATCGATGGATAAATCATTTATCCTTTAAAAACTTTAGGCATAGTTTCCGTGTATTCCTTTTGAAACAAGCCATTCATAGCAAAAACTAACCTCATCCATCGATTCATAGCCGAAACTTGACGATCTTGATTTTTGATCGTCTGGCGAGGGCGATTCCGAGCCCAATTCTTCGGAGAAATCGCTGGTGGCCATGGGATCGGCGATTGAGTGGATGATGGTCGTCCGGAAGCAGGGCGGGGAATACATGATGATGTACTCTTCTTCAGTCATCTACTAATGCTGAAAATGTTTCGGTGTTTTGCTGGAGGCCTCGAATGCCATGTAGGAGGTTTGGTAACGGAGATGCGTTGCGGACATTTATATGCAAGAAAAAGTGTTTTCGGGCAAGGGTCGTTCTTATTCTGCCCATTTACCAGGAGGTAATTTGAGAGGAACTCGATCGATTTTAGACAGTGGTACTTTCGCATTATTGGTGGGGGGGCTCGGTCGATTTTGAAAGCCTTTTTTGTAAAATTTAACTATAGTTCAAATAGAAAAATATCTAAAAACTAAACATCGAAATTCTGGAGAAAAAAAAAGATTTTTTAAAAATTTTGACTTTGGGATACTAAAGGAAAAGTTTGGAAACTATCTCTATTCATCTTATAAAAACGGGTCCTGCGGAAAAAGCCCCCCCCCTCGATAATTACAATTCAAATTACAGAAAAAAATTATTTATTACAACTTAGACATTTTAGAAAAATTCAATCAAATATTTAACGACGAATTTAATGGTCGACAGTTCAGGAAACCGTAAATAAACAGGAAGACTTTTAGTCGCACAAAGCCGCTTGGAATTTGCAAAATGCACTTCCAAACCAAAACACTCAATAAGCGGACGAGCGACACGGACAAAAATTCCTTTCGGCAAATGAGTCAGCCGGCGCCAGATGGGCCATAAAAGGACTGAAAAAAGGAAGGGTGCCGACCGGATCGTCCAAATTCCAGATGGCCCTACTTGAATAGTGAAATGAGATACATAGAATTGTGCCATCTTTCGTGGGGGTAGAATTGTCGAGTACCACCCGGGCCCATCAATCGGCCGGGGTGGGGGTGGGTGTCGTTTTTGTGTTGATAATTTTGTTGACCGAGGTGGCGACACTGTTTGCGATTATATTTCGAGGCAAACACGAGAACCCGAGAACAGGACACACACACAAAAAAAATGGAAGCTAGCTCTAGATAAGTTTGCAAAATGGTAATGAAAAGTAGATGTTTTGAGATCAACTTTCTACTTTTTATGGTACTGGACCGTTAGCGGGGGTAGATACCCCTGGGGAGTGAACGGTCGTTTTGAGTATAGAAAATTCACAAAAATACCAACAATTTCGGGTGCTTTTTCATTATCGGAGGAATGCGAATTTCGATGTTTTCCGGGGGCTTGAAAGCGAGCAGCAAGTCCGCTAGTTTTTTCGTAGCCTCTAAACCCTAGCCCCCCTCGCGCGAGAATCCCCTCCATACAACCCAAAAATTTACGATGGCCGATCGTCGATGGGAATATTGCGGTTTCAGGGGGTTGGGTTGGGGTGGGTGGCGGTCGAGCGAGCCGAGCGAATTTTATGGCCTTCGCGGATCACCCCTTAACATACTGACGCTTCACAGCCCGCTCGCCATTTTGCGATCCGTTTGCACTCGGGGGGTTGTTGCCAAAAATAATGTTGGAAACCGGGGTAGCACGGATGGGCTGTGGTTACATCGATTTAAGACAAAAATCGCGGTATATGACTTTCAAAAACTCGAAAAAGAAGAAAAACAAGACAAAAACCTCGACCTTATATTAGCGACCAAAATTTGATAAAGCCTACAGAATTTGACTTGTTAAATTCATAGAGGAAATGAGATACATTGCAAAAACACTAAAACCCTGAGAAAAACTGTGGAATATACGCGTTTATGGTTTTTAAAACTCAAAAAATTTATAAAGCTTAAAGAACTCGACTAGTCTTATAACGAATAAAAAGCTTTAAAACTTTCAAAAGCTTATAGAAATAGAGTTGGAAGAGATCAAGCAGTAAACTAATATCAATATCTATCAAAACAACCCTTAGCGCCGGAAGAAAAACCTAATCGTGAAAATGAAAATGAAATAAACTGCTTAAATCAAATCCCAGCGTTATTAAAGGTTTGAGAAAGATTTGATGCGCTGAAAAAGCGGGCTGATCATCGATACCTTCTGCCCTCAGAAACTAAAGCCTAATAACACGATAATAAAATAACCTTTATAGTATTATTATAAGCCCACAAACTTTGATGGAGCTTACAGGGGGGTAAACTGCAGCGAAGCAGGACAATATTTCCCTTTCAGCACCGATACCCCCTGGGTGAATGGCGTGAAATCAGCTTTTGGGGGAGGGAGCGCAGCGCGAGGGGGGCGTTCGACGCGCCTTTCAGTGCACGCTAGAAAAAGACTAGTCTTGGTAGGGGGGTGGGGTAGATGCTGATCCGGGTCAATGGCCCTTCAACTAGGGCCCAAATAGACAGATAAATAGAGCCTAGTGTTTAAATGTAAATTTGCGAATCCTTGGAGAGGTTGAGTTTTTCGGGGCGCAGAATTTTGAAGTAGAAAAGTTTGCAAAGTGCGGATTTGGAGGGCAAATTTGAATTGTGATTCAGATCGGGGGCCCTGGTGGCTGAGAAGATTTGTCGGTGGCCGGGAGATTCCGAGAGGGCGATGGGGCAGAACGGAAATGGGGATCGGGAGGGAAGGAGGGGGGCTACGATCACTCCAAAGAACACCTGAAAAGGCCCACCGGAATGATCCGGAAACTCCGGAAATCCTAAGATTGTGGCTAAATGTAAATAAAATTTATTAAATAGAGAATACGTCTTTTGGAAAGGCGCGCCACTAGAAAATTCTTACTAAGTAGAAGAACTAAAGCCCTGTTTAGAAGAGCCTAAAAGAAGTTAGAGAGTATGTTTTTTAGCTCACTGCGTCGTTGGGAATCTGCGGTAGCTCAATCGTCCAGTAGATTCGGTTAACTTTCGTTGTGAAAGTAGTAAAACGAAAAAATACTGCTATCCTTTCACCCCCGGGCCACACCCTAACCTTACCGTCACAGATCACAAGCATAGATTACGGTCGGTGGGGTGCTTTTGAGAAAAACAATGACACGGACAGCAGAATGGGTTTAATGGTTTTCACCTTGCCGGTTCCTTTAAACCCGTAAAAATTGGACAAAACGTGGGAATTCCCGCAATGGTATTCTCAATGGCCATTGTCCCCCTCTACAACTCGGTTTTTCGGGCCGAAAAACGGCAGGGCCGCGGGTAAAACACGAAGAGGTTATTTGCATAGAGGGGAGAGACCGCACCCATCTCTACGAGGAGAGAGAGAGAGAGAGAGAGAAAGAGAGAGAGAGAGAGAGAGAGAGAGAGATGCAGTGAAAAGACAAGGTCGAAACAAGATGGTTCTGGGGTGTGTCACTCTATCCCTAAAAACGGATGTCCCACTACGCCTCTAGCGGTTGGTGAGCTAGCGGAGATCATTTCGGAGAGTATGAGAGTCAAGGTAGAGAGAGCGCGAGAGAGAGACAGATGGACTGTGAGAGAGAGCTAGTGAGAGACAGAGAGAGAGAGAGAGAGAGAGAGAGAGAGAGAGAGAGAAGAGAGAGCGAGAGGCCAAAGTGAGGGGGAGAGATAGTATGATCGAGAGAGAGATTGAGAGAGAGAGAGAGAGAGAGAGAGAGAGAGAGAGGCGAGAGAGAGAGAGAGAGAGAGAGAGAGAGAGAGAGAGGGGGGGAAGCCAAGGCAACCTAGCAAAGATCCTTGAGGATTGCCTCTCAAGATCGCGTCGTTAGGACAGTCTCGGCCTTGGCCTTGAAATCCACGAATTGCTTGTCGCATCCCCTGATGTGACATCGCCCAGCTAGGGGAGTTTTCTAATTTGCATACCAGGATACGGTTCTTAGGGTGCGGTTTCAGCAATTGGTCTTAAAGGGGTTGTCAAGTTATGAGTACGGATTTTTTATGACTTCAAAGGTCCTTTAATGGGTTGTCCTTGTATTTTTATACTTTGTAATTTTACGTTTTAAACCTTTAAACTTCATTTATCCTCCATAACCCACAAACTACAATATGTACAGGATAACGATGCTATAATGGCAATGGTTGTAAAGCGGAAACCATGTATTTCGAGCAAACCGGTAACGAATAGTGGCCACCAAATAATACGTAGAAAAGGAGGGGGAAATTCGAATTTAATCGCAAATTCGATTAAATTTAATTTCGACTGGTATAAAGGTTCAGAAGGCAAAAAATGCATAAAATCTGCCCATTAAAAGGCTAAAAAATGATAAGAATAAATGCACAAAAAATTACGAAATATACCTAGGTACCCGATTGGCGAATTCTGGGGCAAGATTTTGTTTGATATAGAGGATGTAAGTATGGTAGTGGTTTTGAGCCGGGAAGGTTACGGTATTTAAAGGGACTGGCAAAGGAGGAATATGGATTTTGTTGGAGGTAGGCTTAGGTTGTTTTTTAAGCCTAAGCTAAGCCTAAGCCCAACCTAAGCCTAAGGTAACCCTAAGTCTACGCTTCGCCTAAGCCTAAGCCTAGACCAAGCCTGAGTCAGGCTCAAGCTCAAGCTAAACCCAAGCTAGCTAAGCCAGCCAAAGCCAAAAATCCAAAGCCCTCCCTTGCCCGTCCCTTTAAAGAAAAAGGAAAGCACCTGGAGGGTTTTGACAAATTGAGCATAGATTCTAAGAGTTGCCCCGGCTACCGTAGTCTGTAGCCTGGGGCTAGACAAGTGGAGTTTGGACGGTACTTTCTCCAATCGTCTCCATTTCTCTGTCTTCTGGTGGGGGTTCCCGGAAGATGCTACGGTAGCAGTTGATGTCGAATATCCGAGTGGGAACCTGAAAAATTGGAAGGTTTGGCGCTTTAAAGGACCATTGAAGGCAAAAATCGATGGATGGATACCTGTGCGAGGCAGGCGGGAAGTAATACAAGTCCATGCCACATCCCCCAAATCACGACAAGTGATATCGTTTTGACGAAGACGAGAGGGATGTAGTTCTGAAAAATTCGATACTGTCGCTGTCTCTTTAAAGTAAAAAACACGGTTTTTCAGGTATAGCTGTCCCTTTAAAATGAGTTCCTTGATGTCGTCGTCCCTTTAAAAAAATGACAATTTTCACGAAGTAGCCTTGTCCCTTTAAATGAAAAATTCGATATGTCTGGTGGTCACCATTCCTTTAAACCGAAAATTTGGCTTTTTCGGGGAGTCAGAACCGGTTTAGTAAGAATTGATGTCGGATGGAAGATGTCGCTGACCCTTTAAAATCCAAATACGGTTTTTTGAGGTCTCACAGTCCCCTTAAAATGTAAAAGCGTCGTTCCCGTGGTGTCGCTGCGCATTTAAATCGTCAAGGAGATATTTTTTGCCGCCCAATGCTTTTAAACTAAAAAAAGCAGCTTTTTTATGTGTCACAGTTCCTTAAGAAGAAGTTAAGATCTGTCATTGTGCCGTTAAACCGCGAAAAACGATTTGTTTAAGGTGTCGCTGCCCCCTTTAACATCAAGGTACGTATTTTCCAGCCGTCACAGGCCCTTTAAAACCAAAATCTAGCAAAAATAACTTTAAACCAAACGAAAAATAACTTTTTCCAACTGTCACCATCCCTTTAAACCATCTCTTTCGGAACGAACCTGCAACAACACCAACGGCAATATACAAATGACAGTCGATAGGCCAGCCTGTGTCATTGGCCAGGCAATAGCTTCTACCGTATGCATCAGCTTATCCACAGGGTCCCGCAACGGAACAATCACTGACTTCCCATTCCGTTCGACAACGTGAGATTGGAGCTGTAACGGGGAGGGATACGGTAAAGGGCGAGAAATAAAATACCTGATAATGATATGTGGTGTGGGCAGTGAAATCGACGGACATTCCGATACTCATCAGAATTGCACCAAGGGAGACTGGATCCAGGTCGAGATGCCAGAATGAGAGGTAGCTGAAAAGGAGCATTAATAGGAGTGGCAGATGGTCTCTGCTAGCTTGCCCTGGTCAAAAACTATTAATTAAAGAGATTGTTGAGTGAGGGCGCATTAATGACAATTGGCCGTTTCCGCAAACTTCTCTGCTAGTTTGCTCCAGTTGACAGTACTTGATTTTATTGGTAGAAAAATGCAAATTTTCTCTGCAAGCTTGCCCTGGTGGAAAAGCAATTGGTAATAGGCATATTATAAAAAAACATATACAGCTTTAGGTAATACGCATTAATGAAGACCCTACGCTACGCTACGTTCCGTTCCCCCCAAATGATCTCTGCTAGTTTGCCCAAGCGAAAAACTTTATTTGGATCAAAGTGATTTTTCAGTAAATGCTATTAATGTAAAATTCAGGTTACATACGTTTCGCGCACTAATGGTAATCAGACGTTCCGCAAATGACCTCTGCTAGCTTGCCCTAGTGGAAAGCACTTGAAAATCGCCAAATGTTTCCGAAATCGTGCATTAATGACAGGTTAACCTAGACGACTTAACTTTCATGACCTCGCAAATTTTCCACAAATTGTCCTTGCTAGCCTGCTCAACTAGCAAAAATACCCACCCAACAGTTCCGAGTGATATCGAAGCTATGGCGAGTGATGCAAGGAGGACGGAGGCTGGATTCTGGATGAAGAGAGCGCAAACAACCACCATACAAATTAATGTCCACATTGCACTCTGAAATAACGATTATAAATATAATTAACGGTATAGAAAAGTATTGGAAGGCTACGCTACACTCCTTTGGACATTTCATGACATCCGTTTCCCTTTAATATCCATATTTAATTCGATACCTGCATGGCCAACGGCTTCAGCGAAATAATCTGATCGACAAACATTGCATTCACATCGTAGATTGTCGCGTTCATCTCCGAATAACTACAATAATTTTGATAACTAAATTTATTGCTCGAAAGTCGATACCTATTAACAATTCCGCGCCACTCCTCCACCAATCTGATACGTTCTTCCCATGATGAGAGCTTTTCGAAGACGAAAACTAGCGAGAAACGCTGGATCGGGTTTGAGCTGAAAAAAAAACTAGATAAAAATTTTAAAAATAAAGAATTATATAAATTTTATGCATTTATATATTTTATATTTAATTTTATGAAAATAGCTTTAAAATTAACGATGTTAATACGATTTTTTTTATATAACTTTTATATGGTTTTAAACAAATCTAATAGGATTTACGTGTGTATTTAATTAGATCATATAATTTCTATATATGGTCATTAAATTCGTATATATAATTTAATTTATTTCAACTAACCTGCTATTCGTTAGCTTGACGAACGATTGATACTGTCGACGTAGCGTATCGTTGAGGAACGGCTCCAATTTCCCATAGCTCAAGCCAGAATCGCGGGCCTCAAGACTACAAAGTACGTTTGCCTTGCGAATCCCTTTAAAATCACGTACTCTTCGTCAAAATCGAAGATTGACGCTTGCTCGTAGTACGATTGGTACGCTCGAATCCAGGAGAGAGTGTAGATTTTGCCTAGAAATTATAGGATTTAAAAATTACACCCAGTTAAATGATCCAAAAACATTTTCGGCCGGGCTGTTGTGTGGTTAAATGGTTGAGTGCTAGCCTCCCACCCACAAGATCCGAGTTCGTCCCCCGCCAGCGGCAAACGCTTTGCTTTTTGGCCAGGAAAGGCGAATTTCCTCAAGGATCCCTGCTAGGTTGTCTGATATTATTTATATAAGATTTTCTGATAGACTACAACAAATTTCGACCGACATAAACCGTGGCCAATTGGTTAAGCTCCGTCATTCAGCCATAGGACCTGGGTTCGACCCCCGCCCGGGCTAATTTTTTACTTTTTCACCAGGATATGCAAATTCCCCCAATGATCCCTGCTCGCTTGCCAAACCCTTTAAAACACCGAAAAATTACCGCGATTATGCTCCATCCTCTCAAAATCTTCATGCATTTTGATCAGCCTGGCGAGTTGTGAGGATTTTCGAATATCCGGCGGGTTGTTGACGATGACAGTCAGTGGATAGTATTCCGGCCATACTGTAGAAATTACGGTATTTTGTAAATAGTACAAAAACGTACTAATCTCCTCCATCAATCGATTTGGGCGTCGAATTGGGGTGTGAATTGGGAGGATTTTGCCGGTGTCGAGTTTCGACTCGAGTCCTACAGTACCCTTCACCGCGAAGAACCAATATACTCAAATAGGATATTTTTACAGTTTACTTACAGTACATTTACAGTATAAATTAAACTTTTAAAATACAGACCTAGACTGCCGAGTAATAAGACGATAGAGACGGCGGGATGGCTGATCACTTTTGCATACCCACGCACCAGGCATTTCAAGAAGTTTCGCAGCTAAATGTCATTTTTAAATTGGTTAGTGATTTTTTTTGGGATTTTCGAACCCTGGTCAATTGATTAAGCTTTCTCTCCCCACCCACAAGGCCCGGGTTCGACCCCCGCCCGCGGCAAGCTTTTTGCGTTTTTGCCTGGAGATTCCCATTTCCTCAAGGATAGGTGCTAGCTTGCCTACCTACCGTAAGCCTCCATCCATCTACAGTACGCGGCCCGTCCTTATCAACCGTAGTCGGGGAAGAATAATAGAGAATTGGGCCAAATAGTATTAATGTGTAAATATACGCCATGCCAAGGGCGAGGGCTGTGCCGAAGCAGAAGATTGAGATCTCTGAAATGTTACGGTAGATTTTTGTAAGACAATTTTTAGGCGTAAAAATTGGCTGAATCGGTTACGCGGCTTAGGAAGTCCGGACAAATCAACTGTCACGCTCCCTTTAAAGCTCCAAAAAGCTCCAATTTACATACCACTGGTCGGGGTAAAGGCTCCGATAAGAAACGTAATGACGTTTGTCAGCGTAGTCGTGGTTATGGAGGGACCAACTTCTTCAAAAACCTAAAAAAAGTTTATTATCGGTAGATGTCTTTCTATCTCTCTCTCTCTCTCTCTCTCTCTCTCTCTCTCTCTCGTTCTCTCTATCTCTCTATCTTTCTCTTTCTCTGACTCACTCTCTCACTCTGACGGTCTCTCTCTCTGGTTCTCTCTCTCTCTCTCTCTCTCTCTCTCTCTCTCTCTTCCTTACCCTTCCCATCCTCGTCTGCATATTCTCATTGTTTGATTGTCGAAGCCATGCGTGTACCGTAAGAAAAGAGTCATTGACCCCTAAAATGCCCAAATCCACTACCGTAGCCAGTCCAACTGACCGATTCCCATGATGAGAAACGGCATAATAAGTAGTAATTGATTAATAGGACATCCAAAAAGTGAGAGAGTACCCAGAGTTGATGTAATTGCCACAACTGGCACTAGGGTTGAGCACAGGCCGACGATTACGGTCCACCTGAAAATAGACGATTATCGAAGGGAGGGCAGGCTAGCAGGGATTCTTTTCGGAAAACACTGTACAAAATTCAGGGTTTTAAAGCGCCAATAGAATTATTTTAGAGCAGACTAGCAGGGATTCTTTGAGAAACTGCCAAGATTAGGTAGCGTAATCGATTGGCGATGTTCGGCCGGCTAGCTAGCAGAGATTCTTGGCGGAAATTATCCAGCAATGAAAATACATGCCGTAATCGTTTCGCGATCGATTCTAGGGCAGTCTTGCAGAAAAATATTTGTGGAAATTAATTTATTTTCGGTCGATTTTATCGGAATATTGCCAATGTTCTTTAGGAAAACCTTACCAACATTACATGGCGTGATCTATTTTGTTCTCTAGGCCATCTAGCAGAGTTACTTTGCGGAAAAATGTCCGGGCTAATAAGCAGTGATTACTTAGGAAACCAATCTTCAAGCCGAGATAGCCTAGCAGCTATAATTCAGTAAATATCGATTTTTAGCGCATTTTCAGCGCAATTTTTCATTTTTCAATTTTTTCATTTACTCACCAATTTAGCCTATCAAAATACAGTGCCGAGAAGTATACGGTAGAGCAGACAAAGAGAAACATTGCCCCGAAACCGTATGCAAAATAGGGGGACATCCGCTGAGCTTCACGATTGATCTCCACATCCACGATCTCGGAGCCGATCACCTGTAAAAATACGATATAATACGTGAATTTACAAGTATAAATAAAATATTCTGTTAATAAGCTAACAGAAACCATTAAATAATCTAGCAAATATATATGTAATTTTTATCATAATAAAAAGTCAGATGTATCAAAGCCTAAAATGTAGATGACCATGCAGAAGAAGAGGACAGATGGCCCACTACTCCAGTTATAGTCAGCCGGGATACTGTAGCGATGGTATGTACCGGTGGACCAGTTTTTGGACACCAGTAAGATTCATCGCGGCCGCGGGCGGGGGTCGAACCCGGGTCCTGCGGGCGGGAGACGCGCTTCGGGACCACTATACCACAGTGAGAGCTGGTCTCGGGTGGGCTCATGAGGCCAAGAAATTTCGGCGATCAGTTTCTTTTAGCTCCCACCCTATTTCGCCGCAATTCTCTTTGTGGCCGAGTGATTAGTGAGTTTGCCTTATAATCTAATGACCATGGTTCGAATCTCGCCCGCGTAAATTTTTTGCTTTTTGAATACCACGTTGGCTACTTCATTTTAAAGGTGTTGCCAAGTGAAAATCGGCTCACCAGCACTTCCACCAGTGGATATGGATTCTGGGCGGCCCATCGATAGACGGCCATCTCCCACGCGGCCATCCTCTCATCATCCCCCTCGTCTCGAAGCTCTCCCAGAAATGTGGCCAACACCAACTAAAATTCACCAAGTTACCGTAACGATGTAGTCATAACCTTAATGTGTCGAACATTCGAGACATCTCCCTTGGGGACCGTATCCCCGGATGTTTCCACCCCGAAAAAGCTTCTCTCCAAGTGGATGGGAATGTCGAAGGTGATCAGGCGACTGATGGGGTATCTAAAAAAGGGGAATAGATACTTTAAAGGGCCAGGAAAGGTATAATCGCACGGATTTTTGGCTCTGGATTCCCTAGAAAGTCTGCCACGTCGCGACACGCAACGCATTACAGCGTATTGAATTACGAATGAAATTGCTCCTTTTATAGCGTAATCCACTATTCTCGCAACACGCGACGCAATGCGCAACGCGAGCGTCGCCTCACCGAATCGATTACGGTATAGAAATGGTGGCCGAGAGGTGCGTTGCGTGTCGCGGCCGCGGTTCGGTAAAAATTCACCGCGTCCGTTTTTTACTGCGTCTGATTTGATTTTGTACGATCTGATTTGTGCGTTGCATATCGGTAAAACCCATATCCCTGCCTTCAACGTCCCTTTAAAGGAACGTTGGAGGCAAATATATCAGCACGCGATGTCGCCCTCCCTTCCAAACAACTCACGTCAGCTCCATATCATAATCCAACGTCTCATTCCTGCCCCGCTTCACCGAAAAATCGATGAACATTTGAGTTGGCAAGTTCGCATCGCAATATGAACCACAAAACGTGTCATAGCCCACCGATTCGGATCCGTATTCGACGGTCAGATTTTTTGCTGAAAATGGAGAGATTCTGGCTGGCAGCGGTTATGAAACAATCGATGGAAGTATAGAGGACGGCCTTTCGAAAGCCGGACAAGCTAGCAGAGTTCTTATGCAAAGTTCAGGCAATGTCGCAGTGATTCTATAGGAATTGGAGAGCAGGCTAGCAGACATCATTCAAATTATCTCAGAAAACCCACATATCCACTGTATAATAGCTCTAGCTTCGAGCAAATGTCCTTCACGATGCATCGATCCTCCATCTCTAGCCACCATCAAAACAGAGGTCGTCATCGGATCTCCTGAAAATCAATAGATTCTGTCTATCTCTCTCACTCTCTCACTCACTCACTCTCTCTCTCTCTCTCTCTCTCTCTCTCTCCATACCTGTAACATTGAGGAATTCCTTGTATATTTGTGCTTCTCTTTTCGCAGGAGATGTTGAGGGAGTAAAGCCATCCCGGACGTTATCTCGGAGGTGGAGCTCAATCATACCCACTGAAAGGTTAGAATTAAAGGGACGTGGACAGCAGATTTTGCAGTTCTCTAGCGCCGGTTTTGACTCCATTGACTCCCTGTCCCAGGCAAGGGAACAAGGAGTTCGAGCACGAGATCGAGAAACAAGCATGCTTCCGTGCGAATAGCGGATTCCCAATCTCTACCGGGCAGCCTAGCAGTGAACCTTAGGGAACCCAACTAACCTGAAGTAGAACATAATATAAGTGCAGAGATGAGAAATGCGAGCGGATATGCCCCGATTGCCTCGCCGATCAATCGAAAGATCGTCGACAGCGACAATTGACGGCAGAAATCCAGCAGCATCGACGTTTTGTGACCTGAAAGTTGACTTGTTGGCCCCTTTAAAGGAATCTATAGCTTGTTCCACTTCTCTGCTCCTTTAAAATGCCATTTTTAAGCATTTGGGAAAGATAGACCGCTTAAAACGCTATTTTTGAGCAATTTTGCCTTGTCTTTTTTAGTTCAATGTCCCTTTAAATTGGTTTCATGCATATTTTTAGACTTGCCGGTGCCTTTAAAATCATACATAGCATTTTTTGACTTGGAAATGCCTTTAAAATGCGCTTTTCGATCCTCTTTTTAGACTTGCCAATCTCTTTAAAATCGAAATATTACGATTTTTCAGCTAGATTTCCCTTACCAGGATGCATCAGTCGATCGGCGGTCTCTTGTAGGGGCAACGAGCCGTGTTTCTTTGGATTAAAGGGACCGGGAAGTGGAGAGAATGAGGAACACCCGGCATCCCCTTCAGGATGATCACACACTAATGGCGCCACCGCGTCCTCTTTGGGACGCATTTCCTGGAATGAATGGAGATAGATTTGGGGGCAGGCTGGCAGAGAATCTTGTGGGAATGAAAAAAGGCACGCCAGCGTAGATAATTGTGGAAATAAGGAGAAAGCGAGTCAGCGGAGATTCCTTGATGGCGGCAAGCTAGCAGAGATTATTTTTTAAAAATCAGTGAGGTAAGCTAGCCGTCATTTTTTGGGAATCAGAATAAGGCAAGTTAGCGGAGATTCTTGAGGAATAGAAGTAGAACAGGAAAGACTCAAGGGGAAACATAATCAAGGCAACCTAGCAGAGCACTTTTAGGAAATACAAAAAAGGCACAAAGGCCAGCTAGCAGAGCACATTAAGGAATGGAAACCAGATACGGAATTTTTAGGGAAAGTGAGGCAAGCTAGCAGAGAGCCTTTAGGAAGTTAAGCAATCTGGGAGGGCCCCTTACTGTAAAGTGTTTTTACTCAGGCTGGCGTTTTGGGATGGGACCAGACTATCTTGTGCAGAATTTTGCGCTGATTCCGAATCTGATTTCCAAATCTGCTGCCGACTTTTATTTAAAAAGTTATTTGACATTTATACTATAAAAAGTGCCAAATCTGGATTTTTGCGTTATTTTTATGTTGTCTTCATCTTCAACGTTAAAACTGGGTCGGTAACGGTTTTAGAGATAAAATCACGATTTTATGCAAAAAATTATCTGTTCTTGTGCAAAACGCAAAACAAATTGTGCAGGGCGGGGTTCGAACCGCGGCCCTGTGCTTGGCAAGCGAACACCTTGCCAATGCACCATGGTGCCAACGGGGCAGGGGGCTTCGGAATGGTAGAGAAGGGGCATAGCAATACCTGGGTCCATACAGGGAATAGTGGGCCAGCATCCGAATTTATGCCGTTTTTAAGCTTAATTTCGACCTGAAATGACTTTTCAACGCGAAGTCCGCAGCAAATTTGGAAAACGGATTGGGAATCAGCAAAAAATTCTGAACAAGATAGTCTTGGTCCCATTCCAAAACGCCAGCCTGAGTAAAAACACTTTGCAGTTAGAGAAAATGGGCTGAAGGCAACACACCAGAGATTCTTGCGGAAATTTAAACACGACCAGGGTTGAAAAGCCGCTACGCGGCTTTTCACCCCTGGCCTTTGCGCGGGGATCTTTAAAAGTTGGGCTTTGCATAATTCGGGCGAAGAGCTAGAGCGAACCCTAAAAAATAGCAAAAGCAACCGGCCGCGAGCGCGACAAAAGCCAAAATGAGGCTCCTAGCGCCTCGTATGCAAATTAGTCTATTTCCATATGTTTTTAAAACGTTAAAATAAGGTATAAAACGAAATTTTAGTAAAAATCTGATAAGCGTGCAGTAATCTACGCCCTCGACTACCCCTAACTACCTTATTTCTGGACCAAAAAATTCTTTCCCCTTCGAGTTATGGCTGGAACCCGGGTTTTTATGCAAAGTGTCTACACATACACAGACACTATTTTTTTATATATAGTAGGATAATTTGACAGGGATTCTTTTGATTCTTTCTTCTCTTGGGATTCTGGATTGTTTTTAGAAATATCGGTAATCTAGCAGAGATTCTTGGGGAAACCCCCTTTTTGGAGAATTTTTTGAAGTGATGACGAAAAACCCTCAAAAACAAAAGAGGGCGATTCGCATAAAAACCCGCAAAAATTCGGGGGCCAGCAAAAATTCTAAAGAATTCCCGAAAAGGCCGAAAAGCGCCAATATGCATTCGGGAGGAGGGCATTATTCAGGAGATGGAGGAGAGGGACTGACTGAGAATGGGACACGCTATCCAATGAAAAAAGGGAGGAGGAGGAGGAGACGTTTTTGCGATTATATCGGGAGAGAGACAGAGAGAGAGAGAGAGAGAGAGAGAGAGAGAGAGCAAGAGAGAGAACACGGCATCAATATCAATATTATTGCCCTCCGGCTATAGGGCAGAACATTTACACTGATATTTGTGTGTTCCGAAACGTCTGGATAAATAGATATCTGAATATCAATAATAATAACAATAATAAAAAGATTTTATAAACCTTAGCAATTAATATCGCGTAATTGGATGCTGGAATTTATCCGAAAATTCGAAAAGAAAAACAACCAGCAGAGATTACTTGCGAATCGAAAGAAGCTAGCAAAGATTTTTGAGGAAATCGAGGCAGTCAAGCAGATATTTTTTGGGAATTTGGGAAAAGCTAGCAGAGGTTCTTAGAGAATTTATGAACAACTGGCAGTGATCCTTAGGAAATTCTAGGGAGGGTAGCAAACATCATCAGGGAATCTGGAATGCTAGCAGCGATCATTTAGGAACTTTCAATAAATAAAAATCGCTCCGAAAACCGCGAATTTTTTCGGCAATTCCTAGCGGCTGGCCGTTGGGAAGGGTTGGGCCCTTAGGGCATGACCCCCGAAAGAGAAGAGAGAGTGAGAGATAGAGAGAGGACAAAGAAAGAGAGTGGCAGACAGACAACACATCGATCCTCTCTCTTTCTCTCTCTCTCTCTCTCTCTCTCTCTCTCTCTCACGCTGCCCATATCGAGGAGGGCCTCTAAAGGGCAATTAAAGGGGTCGGGAAGGCTGTCTAATATTGGGCCCTCGTAGCCTAGCCAACCAGAGACCATTTCCTAATTTAGAGAGAGAGAGAGAGAGAGAGAGGGAGGGAGAGCGAGATAGAGAGGGAGATAGGGAGAGAGACAGCGGAGACAGAGAGAAATACGGGCAGTGAGAGGGAGAGAGGGAGAGAGTGTGAAAGAGCGAGAGAGAGCCACTCAAAGTACCGAGTACAAAATCCATCCTACCGCGATTCTTTTAATCTTACTAAAACCAAAGGTGAAATCCATCGGGCCCTAAAATTGCACCCATCAATCTGACGGCCGGGGCTTTTCCTCAGTCCTTTTTAAAGCCACGGGGAAGGGTTCAAGTTTCTCGCCGGCCAGACAACCACTAGGAAAGACCGAGAAAAATGTGAAAAAGCTCCCAAAAACTATGTCTTCCCCAATGATCTCTGCTAGCTTACCAGAGAGCGAGAGAGAGAGAGAGAGAGAGAGAGAGAGAGAGAGAAAGAGAGAGAGAGAGAGCGAGTGAGAGGGAGAGAGAAAGAAAGGGAGAGAGAAACAGGGAGAGAGAGCGTGAGAGAGAGGGAAGGAATGAGAGCAAAGATCCTAAAAGATCCCTGCTATCCTGACATCAATTTCCACAAAGATTCTCTGCCAGCTTGCCCTAGATTTTGGCAATTGATAACTCACTACGTGACTGAACTATGAACAACTGGACACGGCCGAAATCGCCCAATTTTATTGTCGACTCCCCCGATCGCTAATTAGATCCCACTGAATCGCCCAAAATCGATTTTTTTTACGGGCATCGAACACCCCGACGAACTGTGGGACTGGTCACAATTAGGGATCCACCGTTTTTCGAGGGCAAACTGGCAGAAATCTGAAAAAAAAGGAAATTTGAAAAAAAACTGAATATTGCCGTTTTAAAGTCAATGTTGGGCCGGGCAAGCCCGCAGAGATCATTGAGGAAAAGCTGGACGAATCCTAAAGTACGGTGAACAAGCTAACAGAGATTTGTGAAAATTTTTGGGGCAAGCTAGCAGAGATCATTGAGGAACCACTCACTACCCTTCAAAAAACAAGCCGCCCCCCCAAAACTGGCTTGAAAGGTTTATCAGTTTGCCCCCTAGGGGGCGATCGCCAAAAAGGTCACCCCCACAACGGCTGATACCAGCTCTGCAAAAATGTGGAATATAAATGGAACGCCTCGAAAAGAATTCCCAAATGATCCCAGCAAGCCTGCCCGGGAGTACGAGGCTTCCCTGTCCCTTTAAAAGTAAAAAGCGCGATCAAAACTGCCACTGTATAAATCGAATCTTGAGCCTGGCGTGCAGAATTTTTGATTTTGCGACCCGATCGCGTAAAATACACTGGAAATGGAGGGGAATGGGCAGCTGACGCGAGAGAGAGAGAGAGAGAGAGAGAGAGAAACGACAGACAGACAAACGGACAGACATAAATTATGTCTGCTTTGTGGCTCTCTTTCTCATTTACTCTCTTTCCCTTATCTCTCTCGACTGATGCTCACCTCGTGAAAAGCGGTGAAGGTTGATTGACCTCGAATCGGAAGGGGGAAGGTTAAAAGCAAGCCAGCTAGCCGAGATTCTTTAGATTATAGTTTCTTTAGATAT